TAATACAAACATTCAAGGGATTCTTTACATGTTTTGTGAGTTGTTTATGAGTCCAGATTCTTCCCTTTATCCCTATTTGGAAATAAGTTTATTTTGTTTTTACCATTCACTACACCAGAATACCTACTAGAAGGTTGATAAAGATAAGAAGAGAATAGGAGATTCAAATAGTCATCAAGCATGCTTCACAAAAGGAGAAAAGTTTCATAAATATTCATTTTCTCTGCCTGAAATGGCTTCCCCTTTTCTCTGTGCTTAACCAAACTCACCCTTTCCTTCAAGGTTCAGCTAACGTATTATCACCTTCAAGTTACCCTTGACCATTCTAGTCATATCCCTTCTCTAAGCCCCTGTTTTTGAGTGTCTGCAACTTGATCAGTGGGCAGCTTGGTGGCACAGAATTCAAGACCTAGAGTCAGGAAGATTCATCTTTGTGAGTTCAAATCTGGCCCCAGACACTTACTAGCTGTACGACCCTGGGCAAGTCACTTAACTGTTTGCCTCAGTTTATATCTATAAAATCTATAAAAGGAGCTAGAGAAAGAATGGCCAACCACTCCAGTGTCTTTGCTGAGAAAACTCCCGATGGAGTCAAAAAGGGTCAGATACAACTGAAACAACTGAACAACAAAAACTTTATCAGTGTTGAGCATCAGCAAAGTTGGGGATACAAAGAAACATAATGCATGATACCTGCCCTGGTGGATGTTGCCAGCTAGTTGAAGAAGAAACAAGTAGAGAAAAATATAAATTGAATATAAGACATACTTATTTTGTATTCCTCACAGAAGCTAGAAGGGCACTGGGCAAGTTACTGGTGCCCAAGAATATTTGTTGACTAATGAATTGGTTGCAAGTGGTTTCAATCACTGAGCTGGAGCAGGGAGAGAACAAAATGTGCCCTTCAATTTTTCAATCTTGTCTTTTTGATTTCTTGCCAACTGCTTTGGCAAATGCCTTGGTGGAGGCCGTTGAGATAATGAGCAAACATAAGGTTTTGGGATCATTGGTGAATTTCATTTATCCAGACCATCCCTAGAAGAATTAAATGGTTATCTGTAAAATGTTTTTATTTTACCTTATATCTATTCATTGTATCACCATTGGCATTCCAGACCAATCACTTTCCCCCACCTCCAACATACCTTCTCTGTCTTGTCTACTACCTCGAGAATTAGAGTCCACCAAGACCTTTAAAGCTAGGGTGTTTACTGGTCACTTTGATCTGTGTCTCTTTTATTTCCAAAGCCTTGCCTTAATGAAAGGACCGGAGTTCAAAGAATTGAGACAAAATGAACTTTGGTACTTCCTGGGTTGGTAATCAGAATGCTGTGTCTTATGCAGTGGGAGATGCATCCTGCTTGACTTTGTGTCTTTGAATCAATCTGAGCTAATTTAAACCCCAGGCAGACTCTGCAGATGTCCCTTTCAGGGATTTAATTTTGACTGTGATGTGCTGCCATTATTGACCATTAGCCTAGTTTTCAAAAGCCCATTAGAGACAAATTGGATATGGTAACACACTCAAGCCCAGTGTCCTTGCTCACGTGATAGCTCTTTACTGATACCCCTTCCTATTAACTGGAGGAGAAGGGGAGACAGTGAATGCACTTCTATCTGGAGAAAATATTCACAGAGCTAAGCACTCTGGGGGCTTGAAGAACTCAATAAGTTTGCTAGTCCATCTTCCTGCCTCTAGGCAGGGGGGCTTTGATTTCTTTGTTACAAAGTTTTAATGAATCCTTCTATCTCAGCTAAACTAACCATCCAGTCAGCAAATATTATAAGCACTATATTTTGCCCTCAATCTCTTCATTTCACATTCTTTTCTTCTTGGGTTCACAGAAACCTGGCTTTTCCCAGAAGATGCAGCATTCATTTTTTTGTGCAAACAGGGTTAAGTGACTTGACCAAGATCACACAGCTAGTAAGTGTCTGAGTCCAGATTTGAACTCACAACCTCCTGATTCCAGGGCCAGTGCTCTACCTATTGTACCACCTAACTGCCCATGCATTCAATCTTAATCCTCCTTTTCAGTACTCCTTCTCTCATGCCCTAATGCCATCCTGGAGCAGGAGAAGGAAAAGAGGCACATTCATTCCTCCTCACTTCCACATCCAGACCACTTCCTTTGCTACCATCCCTCAGCAAGCTCCCCTCATTTAAAGTGTTTTATCTTTGGATCAGAGTGCTGGACCTGGAGTCAGGAACACCTGAATTCAAATCCTGCCTCAAACACTAACTGTGTGACCTTGGGCACACCACTGAAACTCTGTCTGCCTTGGTTTTCTCATCTATAAAATGAGGATAAAAATAGCACTACCTCCCAGGGTTATTGGTGAGGATCAAATAAGCTAATATTTGTACATTTTTGCAGACCATAAAGTGCTATATAAATGTTAGCTTTTATTATTTGACACCTGGTCTAAATCCTTGTCAGCCCCATATCAACCTGAGTTAACTCAGGGCTACTCATTCACCTTTGGTATCTACATGGCACTCAGTTCTCACCTGCGGTTCCAAGAAGCTACACCCACAGCCTGGTAAACATCTAGGCAGATGGGCTAGCCAGGTTGAGGGTAACAGAAGGGTTTTAAACCCCTTGGTGAGTTGAGTGGGGGAGTATCTACCCAAGCACATGACAACTTCTCCTGGTGGAATGGATGGATGAGAACAATTTGTTCCAAAGGCCATGAAGGAGGTTGAAGCAGGTGCTGTGGAGTGCTTAGAGCTAGGTCAGACATCGAAAATGCCAAGGTCATCCACTGCATCCCAGGCCATCACCAGTTATCTTGATTTTTGTCAAGTGTTATAGCTAGCATTTATATTGATCCTCACAACAACCCTATAAGGTAGGTGCTATTATTATCTGTCCTCATTTTCCAAATCACATAGCTAGTAAGTGTCTGAGGCCAGATTTGAACTCAGGAAGATGGATCTTCCTTGACTCCAGGCCTGGCACTCTATGCAATGTGCCAACTAGCTGCCTCTATAGACATGTATAGGATAGCATAAATTTATGATAAGTTTCATTTATCCATATATCTTATAGAAGACAGTGTTTCATGTACCTTTTTTGGAATCTGAATGAGAATGTGATGAGATGTGAGTAGAGGTGTAAATGCAATCTACATCAGCAGATTACTAATAACTAATTGAGCAATGGCCTACTTTTCTATAGTGTCTGTCCATCCTCCATTCCTGAAATGCTTCCCTCCTGCCCTTTGTTTCGGAATTCCTTACTTCTTTTAAGACTTAGCTCCAGTATTCTATCATTATGAAGTGTTTCCATTCCCTACTTTTGTTAGTGTGCTCCCTCCTTTTCTAAAGTACCTTATTTTGTATTTATCCCATGTATACCAATATGTTGTCTCTCCCAAGAGTCATCAGCATTTATTAAGTGACTACTGTGTCACTAAGCCAAAAGAATGAAAACTCTTCTGAAAGCAGGGGCTGCTTCAGTTTTGTCTTTGTATCTCCATCCCCTAGCACATAGTAGTTACTTAATAATTGCTTATTGATTGATTATATAGTCTTAGCTTCACAACAACCCTACAAGATAGATATGGCCAATCTTATCACCATTTTACAGATGAAGAAACCAAGGAAGAAGGGAGGAAAGGACAAAAGAAGGAGGGAAGTAAAGAAAGAAGGAAGGAAGGTAGGATGAAGGGAAGGATGGAAGGAAGGAAGGAAGGAAGGAAGGAAGGAAGGAAGGAAGGAAGGA